TTTTAGTATCAAGGAGCCCAAAACCCTGTTCTAATTATTAAGGCCCCTACATTAGGGTTTAAATGGGTTGTCTATAATCGTAGGGTTTTTGCGACGGGACTCATTGTTGAGGGATTAGGGGATTCTGTCTTCACGGCTTTGAGCGCTGGGATTTTTTTATATCACGTGTGCGGGGTATGGAAGGCCATCAGACAACTCGAAACCCCCAAACCCCAATGTCACGAACCAAGAAAGCATGCCGAACCCTTCTTACGCCAAAGATGTTGTTTTGAATTTTCTAGGATTCGCAAACCTGAAGCAGCTTCGTCCTAAACCCTAAACCCTGAACCCCCCACCCCTCCCCCCCGACTACAGAAACCCCCCGTGGTCTGGGGCGCCCTCCACCAAGAAAGAGCATCAGAAGTCCAGAAGTTCCTAGAATCACTATAACACGGGGAAATAATTACAAATACTATGTTGGAGGGGCTCCTTATTCGAATCAACACTTGTAGTATAATACACCCAAAGACCCTAATCTAATCATTAAGGCCCTTATATTATTACAGCTTACAGTAGCATAGAAGTGGGATTGCTCTGCAGGGGAGAGACCCATGGTGAAGATGCATGGCAGGAGTTTGGCCAATGCTTGGGCACAAAGTTCGAATCCAGAAGCTTCAACTTGGCCTGAAGCCTCAATCCTCAACTCTAAGCCAGAGTTCCTTTTGGTTAGGGTTTAGGGTTTAGGTCACCCGATGTCAAAGCGACAACAAGAGATGCTTCAGCACAGAACAGCGCAAAGAGCTAAACCCTAAACCCTAAACCCCCACATGGATCAATGTCAGCTTCATTGGCTCAAGCATCCTTCTGTCTCGACTCTCCAAGACACCCCCGATTGCCGGAAGGCCGGAGCAACTTTGGAAAGGGAGTTCAGCACTTCGGAGTTCCTGGTTTGGGGTTCGGATTTTGAGTTTAATGTCTTTGGGCATCTCGGCTTAACTTCAGCATCACTGCATCTAAAGCCCTGTGGACCTCCGGTGAGTGACCCAACCCCGCCCCCCTCAGTAAGGACTACAATAGCGACTCTATCATAACGATCCTTGACAAAATGGAGATCATGTATCAGGGCACTAGGCAGTCTACATCTCCCGGCCGAACTAAGATCAGGTCTGACGAAGATCCTGCTCATCTACGCTGTCGGATATACGGAGACAAATTTTGGGATAGCCTTCAAGGGTTGAAACACATTGGAATCAAAAACGTTCCCTCATTCATTATCCAGGGTTCTAGATGGAACGGCCTCTCCGTAATATAGGGGTCTGTGTAGTTAGTATATAAGCCTAGTGTAATATCCCCAATGTACCCCAAAACCGTATATGGTTGATCCTGAAAGCCACTCTATTAGGGCTTTGAGGTTTCAGGCTTCTTTTGTTTTGAGATTTAGGGTGTTTATCCGAGTTGACTCTGTGCCACCGAAGGCGTTGCCCGAGACATGCCGCCAGGAGGCAAAGGGTGACTTAAGCTTACAGGGCTGAGGGTTTGGGGTCCATGATAGGGGCCTGATCCTGTATAATTAGTCCCTACGTGCAGAAATATGTTGTTCAACAAACCTCATTGATGATCTTGACGCCCATCTATTTGGTTTCGGATTTTGGCTGGATATAAACCCTAAACCCTAAACCCTGGAGCATTCATATAATTGATTTCGGACTTTGGCTGGGTAAAAACCCTAAACCCTAAACCCTAAAGCCTAGAGCATTCATATAATTGGTTTAAGAACCCAAAACCCACTTTTCTGTAGGTTCTTACTATAGACCCTAATATGGGATTTATAGGCACCCTACAAAAAAGTAGGTTTTGGGTTCTTAAGGTAGACCCTATAGCATTCTAGGGTTAGGTAGGGGAGGTTTCAGAGTTGAAGTGTGTTCAGCTTCGTGGGGTGTTGGTCTAAAGCATTAGGGGGCGCTCCTTTGTTACGGACTTTCATCTGCATATGTGTCCCGAAACCCTAAACCCTAAAACCCTCGCAAGCAACAGAAAAGGCCCTTAAAAAAAAAAAAAAGAAACCCTAAACCCTGAATTGAGTCCCTCGTCCTCTGCAGCTTCTGCAGTTTTTTGGGCTCTTGCGTTGAGAGGACGTTCGGCTTGGGGTTTGACTTAATAGGGTGGGTTCAGGGTTTTAGGGTTTAGGGTTTAAGGTTTAGAGTGAGTGGTTGGTTCATAGAGTTGTATGTATCCTAACCCGATCAGGATCCCTGATACTCTGATACTCACTTACTAAGTCCCCAACTACCTTAACCACAGTTGTATTAAGAACCACCTCATAAGTCAATCTCCCGAGAAGACTCCTTCAACAACTACCCGCAATTTCCTCTTCTTGACTATGTTTGGCGCACATTCGAGTTTGAGAGCTGGGAGGTCGAGAACGTTAGGATTTGTGTATGGATCGGGCCCTCAACCCTAAACCACCTAAACCCTAAACCGCAGCGAATTGGGCTTTCGGTCTCCGGGGCCTGGGCGTAGGGTTTGGTTTCTGATGGCATGGTTTAGGGTGTAGGGGTTGAGGGGTTTAGGGTTTGGGGTTTAGGGCATCAGGGTCTGGGGTTCGCTAGCCATGTATGGCCTTACTTCAGGACTCAAGCAAGCTTCCACGAGTTAAGCCGGTGAGCTAAAACCCTAACCCCTCAACGAAACCCCAACCACTGCCACGATCTCTTAACCTTCAGCACATCCTAAACCCAAAGCCCTAAGCCCTCAGCCCTAAACCCAAACCCAAAGACCCCAGAATGCCGTCAGCCTTCATCCAGACCGTACTTAGAGGATCAGTCAGGGGACTAAGTAAGTGGGGTTGGAGTTCCTATAAGGGCTCCGACACAGGAACCTTTCAGGCCCTGTAGAGTTACCTTGCTTTTCACCCTAATCCGAAGTCCTTGGACCTCCAGGTAACCCGAAACCCCAAACCCGAAAACCTCCCGACTTTAACTGCTAGGTGGAAAAAGGTGCTTTAAAACAAACTCTAAGAGAGTCCTTATACAACTCTTAAAGAAGCCTTCAGAGGCTTTAAGGCTCCAAGTCTAAACCCCAAACCTCTAAGAAGTCCTTATAAAACTCTTTGAGGAGCCTTAACAGTCTGTAAAGCTCCAAGTCGGAGCCCTGAACTCGAAGCCATACTGTTGATAATATAAAATCCTGTATTACCTTAAGGACCCTAAGCTAAGGGAATGGTGGGATATTCCTCGTTATGGGTAATGCATGATTGGTATCATCAACCGTAATTTGGAGGCCTTAATAATTAGAACAGGGTTTGGGGTATACCATACCAATACATTGAACCCCCAAACAGCCTATTCTAACTATTGAGGCCCCTACATTATGTCAGGGGGAGTGTCCATCACGTCGATCAACCGCGAGACGGACCTCGACGAGATGATCGAGGAGGCCCATACATACAGAGCCCAATACGTATACACATAATATAGGGCCCTTAATAATTCGCGCAACGCCAACCCAGCGCCCAGACTTCATTGGATAGAGAGTGTTTGTGGCAGCAAGGGAAGTACAAATTACGTGGCAGGCGAGGGATTCACCACTTCGAAGTAT